TCTTCATGTACTGGAAATGGAGTTTTATTTTTTTATAAATATAATTTGGTCAGTGTTTGATTGACAGTATATAACAGATCTATATAAAGCTGGTTGTTTATAAAATACCACATGAACGTGAGAGCAATAATGTAATTTTGCGGGCTGTCATCACAGACGCTAAATAATGATGGATGTTAAATCTCCACTTCCTCTCAATTTCCAGAAACGAAGACAAAAGATCCTGGATATTAAAACGCCGCCATCAAACGTTTGGCATCGATCGACACTGACGATCGGACGATTGATCCGACGTGAACACAAACACAACCCTGCGCTCCTTCATCAGTCTCTTCCTCCCGTCTGTTAAGTAATTGGAGGAATGAAAACATTATTTAACACAGCGTGACGACAATCTGCCGCTGAGCTCTTCCACTCTGATGACTCAGCTCGGGGAAGTTTCTGCCCGTGTGTCATTCTGCCTCCGATATAACAAACAAAGACTTTACGCAAACACAAACACCGAGCGTCTCTGTGAAGACATTTGACGTTAATGAATCCTTTGGTTTTAAAGTTTAACTTTTGATTAACTCGGTGGATTAGAGCCCGTGCGATGGAATGCGTTGGATTATTTCGAAGCACAAAGGGGGAGACAAACAAACTCAAAATGGGAGGATGTGAGAGGACAGGGAGGATGACGCTCCGTCTAAATTAGAACTGCTGAATAGTGATCCATCCCGCCCAAGACACACAACCGCAATGCTCCAGATTCAAATCCTTTGTCGTCCGACCTCTTATTCCGTCTCTGATTCTTTCCTGAGTAAACAAAGGCACAAATGTTCCAGACAGTGTCGTCAGGAAAAAGTATTTATTCAGCGTTATCGCTGGAAACACTGCACCGTGTGGTTTTCCGCCTCCGCTGAGCAGCACAGTTTTTTTTCTCCCTCAGACTCATGAGGTCACCGCGACCTTCGACCACTGAAATCCAATCAGTTCATCTTTGAGTCGAAGTGACAACTCGTCAGAAATTCCTCGAGACGTAAAGTTCGAGAGGCTGAAAAAACGTGATGTGTGAGGCCACGGTGACTTTCACCTCCGATCACCCAAAATCCAACCGGTTCGTCCATGAGCCCGAGTGGATGTTTGACAGTGAGAGTGTGTGAAAGACGGAGCAGCTCCATTGGATTTAAGGGGAGTGTTGGCTGAGGAACGAGCTCCATTGAGATCCGGTGGAGTTTCACGGTGGTTTATTCCCAATTAGAGAATATGTGACGATTAAACCTATAAACCTGCCGTCGCTCATTACTAATTAAACCACTGATTTCCTCTGACGTGCGTACAGAGGGCAGAATGAATTGTATAAAGGCCCGTGGCTCCGCGTGAACGTAGCTGCGCGACACTAAAGGAGACGACCAACACCCGAGACTCATGATGTGACGGACGGACAGGAAGCTACGACCATAACACTTTATAGCAGGGGCGGGGAACCATTTTCCTATCAAGGGCCATTTCAGTTTTTACAACTTCCTCAGCGGGGTCGTCCTGAATGAATGAACACATATATCACTCTAATGTGATGGTGATCTGTCTTTGAACGAGGCGTCGGATTCTCCGCGCAGCTAGTTTCAGTCACAACAACGTGCGCGGATAAATCCTCACCTGCTGCAGCTTCTCACTCCCTCCATCTAACTTCAGTGTGTCGTGTAGATAAAGTTTGTACTGATGCTCGAGCACGTCCCTGCAAACTGAAAACACAGGCTTGTGCTGAGAATAGAATAACCTTTCATCCATTTCTCTTGGAAAGTGGCGACATTCTTCAACCACTCTTCTTGTCGGTTGCTGTGATGCCTGTCAGAGATGCCACGTAATGTGTGTGTGTGTGTGTGTGTTTGTTCAACTTGAGAGGCAAACGCTGGGAGGGATGTCTGCTCTACACAAGCTGGTGGCCTGAGGTCTCCTGTCCCTGACTCCGATATCGCCATGACAACTAAAGATGAGAGGGACTGATGTAAAGAAAACCAGATGTGCATCTCTGCTAGAACATCTGTGTGACAAGATGATGAGAAAGGAGAAGCAGGTGTGTGTGTGTGTGTGTGTGTGTGTGTGTGTGTGTGTGTGTGTGTGTGTGTGTGTTGATTAATCAACTAATAGCTCCAGCATTAATTCTGGCTGATTGTTAAACACATTTTTTGATGATTAATTTTCAAAACATCCTGTTTCAATCAGAATGCTGGTGAAGGAAGCAGCTCTGAATAAAAACCAGGTAAAATCAGTCTCTTCCTGTGAGAAGGAGACGTCCTGAAATCTTTCCCAGAGCCTTTCTATCTTTTTATTAAATCTATCTCCCGACCAGCTTCACTAACGGCCACGAACGACAGAGTCTGTTTGTGTCAAGATGAACGTGAAGATGATGACGGTGCATCTCCAGAGGTGCAGATACGTCGCTGTGACCTAAACACTGGGAAAGTGATATTTTCGCACCTGTGTCCGGTTGTTGTCCAGCGTCTTCTCCAGCTCCGCTTTGGCAGCGGCGGACTCCTGTTGGTGGGTTTGTCTCAGGTGTTCGATGGCCGACGCGTGGATGTGGTTCAGCTCCGAGCGCAGAGAGGCTGCCGGGGAGGGGGGGGGGAGAAAATGGAAAAAGGAAGCAAAGGACACAAATGAATCTCATTTCTCTTTTAAAGAAAATATCACACACACGAGGAAATAAAAGCTTTTTCTGCAAGTTATAGATTTTGTGAAAAAGCTTCTTCAGACCTTTAGTCCACCAGCAAAAAGTTCTCATTAGCCGCCGAGGCGTTTTTCTCACAAGAAAATAAAAAAATAAAGTCTTTTTTAACTTTGCACATAAAGAAAAAGTGCCTGCGCTGCCTTTACCCAAGTGGCCTTTTATCCTCACTTCAGCAGACACCTTTTACTGCAAACAGTCTCAGAGAGGGTGCGTGCACGGTTATCGCCTTCCTGCTTGAATGTAATAAAAGAAATGTAGCCGGAAAAGCTGAGAGTATTTCTGACTGAATGCAGAAGCTCTCCAGTTATGAACTTGGAGAATAAAAACACACATAACACACACAGGGAGAGGATGGTGAAAGTAAGAGAGAGAGAGAGAGAGAGAGGTAATGAAATGATGTCAGGATGTGGGGAGTGAGAGATGGATGGAAGCGGCTCTCCAGTGTCAGGGCCGTGACGTGAAGGTTAATGGAAGAGCATTTATCACAGCGCAGGTCTGGTGTGTTAGCACAGAAGAACTGAGGGAGACCGACTCGGACTCTCCAGCACTTTTAAAGATATTTGTTAAAGTTTAAAGTGCAGCTGATGTCCTCATTTCACTGGACAAAGACTTTTCAAGCATAGATTTGAATTGCTACCGATACACGGCTGGAAGGACGGACGTTTATTTCAGATTAAAGCCGAGCAAACCAAACATCCGTATATCTTTTAGTTCGCTCTGAAAAGACAAAGATGTCGAAGAGAATAATAAAACCAAATGTAATGTTACAGAAATGCTGTTCACCCTTCATCACGTCTGATTCAGCATCGAACCATAGATCTCGATTTAACATCTTGTGTGATTTCACTTCGGTAAAATTTCCTCTGATCTCTGTTGGACCGTAATTCTTTTTCATGACCTCCTCTTCAGTCCATAATGTTCTCAAGACTTTATTTCTGGTGTCAATTATGAACCTGAGAGTCTGAAATAAGACAGAACTAACATGAAATAAACTGCAGGAGGATGGTGATGCACCCTGATTATAACGCAAATGAAGCCAAATTCCAAATTAAGTCATCATTACTAAATACAGAGTGACGTCAGATAGAACTCAGACTCGTGGGTAAAGTTTTTCACCGGGTCATTACGGACGACTGCACACATACCGAGCATGGCTTTGCCCTCGTCCTCCAGTTCGAAGCGGAGCGTTTGCAGCTCTTGCTCAGATTGCTGCTTGAGCGTCTCGATGCTCTGGCGATGAGCCTCTCTGAGCGACTGCAGCTCTGCATGGTGATGATGGCGGAGACGCTCCTCCAAGTCCTGGTGGAGGGGAGAGAAAGGGGAGAGAGGGAGATGAGCGGGGTGGGTGGGTGGGTGGGTGGGGAGGATTGGGGAGCGAGGGAAGGAGCAAAGAGAGGGCAGGAAAACAGAGAGAACGAGGGAAGAGAGAGAGAGTGGGAGGGCCAGAGTGAACAGAGAAAGATAAGGAAGTGTTTTAGCCACAGTTTTAAATCCTGGAGACCAGTTTCTGCTTCATCTGCGAGAACGTGGGAGAGAAAACTGAACGATCAGTTTACAGAGTCTGAGACAAAGTGATTCATCAGCCGAGAAGAAAATACATGGTGTTTATTTCTCACCTCCCGTGGGAGGCAGCTTCACAGAAACTTTGGTTTCAAAGGTTTCAACAAAGTCATTTCTCACAACGACCTCGGCTGCAACAAAACTGAGCTGGAAATTATTTTCTGGATTTTAAAAAAAATTTAAACAAATTTTGAGAAACTGAGTTTAAGAAAAAATTGAAAGGCTGATTTCCATAAATCATTAATGGACAGTGGTAATAGATTCCTGTTCAACCTCTACACACACACACACACAGACACACACAGACACACACACTTACACTAACGTCACACTGCTGCTCGCCAAACCACAAACACAGCGTGTTGTTGTGTTCCTGCTTTAATCCCCCACCACCCCGACTAAATCTGATTTCTTTTATTTTCACCTCATTAGCAGAACGTAAAATAACCCAAGAGTAAAATGTTCATGGATTAATGTGCAATTTTGATTCAGTTCAGGACACGAACGGTTAATATATTCCTTTTCAAAATGATGCATTAAATGAAGAAAATGTTTAATATCCGAGGGGGAAAACACAGCTGCTATTTCCGTCTCAGAATATTCAACAGGGCTCAGATCTCATTCCCGTGATTACACAAAGAACTAACGGCGCACTTTTGTGGACGAGGAAATTGCAGCTCACGCTGAGTTTAACTCGTTTTTCTTTGTCGGGGGAAAATATCTCGACGCCATTTTGCCAAATTATAACTAGGAACCACCAAGAAGGAAAGGAAGACGACAGTAAAATGATATTCATAGGAGGTCGAACGGTGACATCTGCGGCATCTTAATGCTCCAATATGTGAGGCCTCTGGGAAACGATTCAGGGAACGTGCTCCTGAATATTCAAATGAACGTGGCTCTGAGCGTCCGACCCGCAGGGTTTGACGTGGCACCCATGCTGTTTTTATGGTCACAAATTCAAAACAACAGAGTCACAGCTCATTAATGGAAAGATGTGAGAGAGCGGAGGGAGAACAATGTTCGCTGGCACAGTATTTAGATGTTCGTCCGTTGAATTTCATGACGAATCTGCCTCGTATTTGTTTTTCCGAGCTGAATTTTTCGTTGTGAAAAAAGCTGAAAGTAGAAGCAGACGTGTTGAAACAGCAGCTGGAGGCTCGGTCACAGAATCAGAACGTGACTGCTGAGCTCTCTCTTCTTCATTGGTATTGATCATTGGTCTTTTTGTTCAGTGGGTCAGTAAGAAAACTATACCTTTTATTCCTTTAATTAAAGGGAGACCATTAAATACTCCTCATCACAGTGGATTCTATAATTACAAATTGACTGTAACGTTGGTTCCATTCATGTCCTCCTCCTCCTCCTCCTCTTCCTCCTCTTCCTCCTCTTCTCTGAGCTGCACAGACACGCTTGTTCAATTTCCATTCCATTACCAGACAGTCAATATGTGTAACTTAGCTGTTGTGTGAATCTATTTCACTAAGCAAAAGGGTGTTGATGCTGATGAACACGAGCAAGGAGTAAACACACACACACACACACACACACACGTATATGAACTCAGACTGTGAGTTTCTCCGATCCAGCGGCTTCAGCTCAGCTCTTAATCCTGACCGCGAGGACGCGAGCTGCAGGAGCCGAGGCGTCGGAAAGTGATGCGGCTTGAAAGCACGTCTGTGTTCAGATCTAAACGCTGAGAGCAGCATCTTAATGCTGCGACTAACCTGCAGCCGGCACAGAGACTTTAAAACAGGTGTAACACAGTCTCCTCGTCTAACTCCGGCTGCTGCGTGACGACGATGTTCGGTTCATTCAAAGAAGAAGAATCATCGTCGTGTTCTCAATGTTGGCTTCGAAACGCAGATCAGGGGTCAGAGCTAAGGAACTCAAATTTAATTTTGAACTCACAAACACAGCACACGGACCACACTGAAGGTGAACACATCACTTCTATATCGTAAAGATGATTTGGAGAGATACCCACATCTCCTCCAAAGTGTGAAATGATCACAGCCACAAAAAGTTGCTGAAAGAGTCACAGAGAAGAATCAATAGTCTGTCGATGGCTTCGTCCACACTCACCACTTCCATTTGCAGCTTTTAGAAGCAAATTCAAAAGAACTAATGTGAACTGAATGTGTGTGTGTGTGTGTGTGTGTGTGTGTAGCAGGGATTTGTACCAACTTTATTACTCCCGGGGTATAACTGTCTGTGAAGTGTGAACAGTTGACGCCACTGAATCTGAATGTTCCTCCCTTTCCACCCAAACACATAAAGCACCCGAACACAAATCAGCCCTCTAATGCCTCCACTCTGGATAATTGAGTTTTCTCTCTCCCTCCCCGCACCGCTGACAGGAATAAACACCCCGCCACCATAAAAGAGCCTCCGTCGAGCTCTTAAAGACTTTATTTCTCTGCCCAAAAAAACTAAAACTGTGGCAGAGGACAGAATACTCTGAGCGAGCACTGAACACGTTGGTCATTTTCACGGCTGTAGTGAGCGAATGTGAGTGTTTTGCATCAGAGAAGAGCAGGAGGCGAGCGAGATAACAGCGAGGACCATGTTTGTTAGAACAGTCGGCCACTGCAGCGAGCGCCGTGTGACACAGAGGTGATATTTCTCCTGCACACAGACACTCCACCGTTGCCAAAAACACAAAATGTCGTTTCTGACCTCCATTCTGCCTGAAGCATTAACGCAATTACAGCGTCCGGGTTGAAGAATGGATTCTGGAAATGCGATGTGTCGCTGATCCAAATCGACCTTGACCGTGAAAATAGAAGGATTAGCGTTGAAGAACATTTTCCTCGGCACCTTGAGGAGCGTGCACGTTGCGTTTGTGCATATTTTGACGTTATGAAGAGGAAACGACGAAGCTGTCAGTTTAGCTGCTGTCGGCGAGAGTGAGCAGTGATGGTGACGACTCACCGTCCGACTAACCTTGACTCTGTTGGATTAAAATGTCACGGCTGACTCCTCTGGAGGAGCCGCTCGAGCTGTTGCATGTGAAAGATCCCTGATTGGTTTGTGTGGATCGGAACAAACTTAACAACTTAATGGGGAATTCAGTGTGATGAGGACATTTGATTTTCCACTTGCAAATACTCACTAATGCTAACTTCATCACGACGGTTCAAACTATCGAAGTACAAGACACTGAACCAACAACAGGCAGAGAAGACGAAACAAACACGTACATGTGTGTAAACAATTCAAAATGATTCAACCAGGTCAGAGATGCAACAGTTTTTTAAGGAAGGAAGATCATTTCACACGTTTTTGCTGTTTTGGTGAGAAACCCTGAAAATAAACAACTATTTCTTTCCGTGTGAACTCCCAGGAGTATGTAATGGATGATTGATGAATCTAAGTGTGTGTGTGTGTTCCCCACCACCTACCTTTAGGTCACGTTGCCTGGTGCGCTCCTGGTCCTGCATGGCGCAGCAGTGCACCTCCTGCAGACGGTGCTGTCGCCTCTGGTGCTCCGTCTGCAGCTCGTCCAGCTGCATCCTCAGGTGCTCCCTCTC